CCATTTTCTTAATGAGAACGGGGTGAGAGACAGTGTCAAAAGCCTTCCGGAAGTCCAGGAAGACTATGTCCACTGCTACCCCTGCATCTAATGATCTGGTGATCTGATCGTAAAAGGCCACCAGGTTGGTCTGACAGGACCTGCCACTGATGAACCTGTGTTGGTTGCCCCTAAGCATGCAGTCCCCTGCTGGCCCCTCCTGGATGTGTGCCAGAATAATTTTCTCGAACAGCTTGCCTAGGATCGAGGTAAGACTAACTGGCCTATAGTTTCCCGAGTCCTCCTTCCTCCCTTTTTTGAAGATGGGAACCACGTTGGCCCTCTCCAGAGCACCATGAGTGCTCGTAAAACCGTGCCAGGGGACTTGCAATGACCTCAGCCAGTTCCTTTAGAACTCTAGGGTGGAGATCATCCGGACCGGCTGACTTGAAAACGTCCAGCCCCTCCAGAAGCTCCCTAACTAAATCCTCACTAATCCTTAGCCCAGATGTGCCACCCCCGGGGCCCAAGGGGGGCCCAACGGGGAGGTGGCTGTTCTGGTCCCTACTTAGGAAGACGGAGGCAAAGAAATCGTTAAATATGTTAGCTTATATATAACTGTAGCCTGGACTGTTTAAAAGAAAATTGAACTTGTGTTGCTCACAACCTTAACCTTAGAACTCACAGGATAAATACAAGTTAGGGCTTTGGCACAGCTTACCTTAAAAATATCATAAAGGCATTTAAAGTGAGAACATTAATTAGTTAAGGGGTTTTAAAGTGCCATAATTACCCTGTAAAATGTTTCAAATAGATGCCACTACAGCTGAGGTTTATCTTTGATTCATTTGCCCAGGACATTGCAGGGTAGTATACTGATACTCTGGGGAATTTCTTTCATTCCACTGGCATCCCAGGATGCACATATGTCAGCTACTACTTTTTCCCACCCACCAAATTTCTAGGGGTCTCCCTGCCCCTCTCCCCAACTTCCATGCTTTGCAGGGAGCCCCAGGGCCTCAGTTAACTGGAGACCACATGGTGGGGGAAGCTTCATTGTGCCTTCTCAGTACGCCTGGTCCCATAACCCCCGTTTCTCAACTCTGCCCTGGTATCTGCTCTGTGCCAGGCAGCAAACATTGGTTCTCAGCCTTGTGTCCTGGCTAGTCTTTCCCTCCCCCAGACCAGAACATTTCCTCCACCCTAGCCAGCATTTCTAACCCAACTGTCCCTGCCACTGAATCCCAGTTCACTGAGACACTTGCAAAATTTTAGTCCTTTAATTTTTTTTTCACTCCTTTCTCTTTATTCCCCCTCACCTCACTTCAAACAGTTTTTCAGGATTTCTCCCCTCCTATCCTCTACCCTGGCTAGGCTCCTGCTGACTGTGGAAGGAGGGAAGCCACAGGCTGCATGCTAGTTTCTCCAAGGTACATTGCAAAAATCTAGTTGGTCTAATAAAAGATATCACCTCTACCACAACTTCTGATTCCTTTTGCCTCTAGACCTATACAGCTACAACCTGAATGCCATATTTTTGTGACATCACAACATTTCACAGATTTCTGACATTACACAGGTAACCTGTGCTAAAGCCCTTACTTTCACTACTGTTACTTCTAACGAACAGGAAGTCTTAGAAGAAATAGGGTTGGAGGGACCTCCAGAGGTGATTTAGTTCAACAGCCTGCTCATGGCAGTATTATCCCTGACTAAACCATCTGAGCCAGTTTAGATAAGCTGCTATTAAAAACTTCTAAGAGATGTTGTGGAAACTCCATCCTTAGGTAATCTGTTCCAATGCATAATAATAATAATAAAAAAAAATCTTAATATTCAACCTAAATTTCTTTGCTGAAATGTAAGACCATTACTTTTTGTCCTGTCTCTTGCTGTCAGAGTATAGTTTCCTCTTTATAACCACCATTCAGATCTTTTTAGACTTAATCAAATCCCCCCACAGCCTTCACTTCTCCAGACTAAATAATCCCAGTTCTTCCAACTTTCCTTCATAAATTACAGTTCCTAGACCTCTAATTAATCAGAAAGAGTTTAATTAGCCCTTTCGGATACCAAATTATATGAGTGATAGCTCCCAACCATCTACATTGAGTACGTCTCCCATCTCAATTACACTAGGCACATCTACATGTGTAATTAATGCTCCCAGAGTCGTTTGAGTGAGTGCCCAGGAGCAAAAACTGGAGTATGTTGCTCCAGAGCGTATTCATGTGCAGCACATTGAGATTGGTTAGAGCAGCCCTGGCTGACAGCAGTCCAAGGCTGCTCTGACCAGACTCAGTGCGCTGTAGAGGGGCTGGCTGGGGCACGAGGGTGCTTCAGTGTGGGGCTAGCTGGCAGGCAGCCCCCACAATGAAGCACCCTTGTGCCCTAGCCAGTTGGGTGGCGTCTACATGTGTGCTACTGTGTATGAAAAAACTCCAGAGCAGGCTGGTACTTGTATTCACTTGTAAACACTGACATTTACTGTGCAGCTAATTAGGCAATTTCGCAGTAAATGTCTAGTGTAGATGCACCCACTGAAATGTATTTTACGAAGGCTATAAAAAGATGTTGCCAAGGACACCTGGGGTGTTTTATTAGATGAAACAGACATCTCCTGTTGTCTTGCAGGAATGCTCAGATGTGTCTCTGCAAATGGGGAAACCCTGGGTTTCCCTGTTAGCAGAGACATACCCCAAGTCAAATTCCCTGGATGTGCAGCTCTGCAGATGGGGGAACCTGAGCAATCTCTCCTGGGGCTTTAGGGGCCTGATCCTGTATCTTGTGAATAGGAATTCCTGGACCATACTGGATGCGGCCCCTGAAGCTGCCTGGACTCTTCCACCATAAAGCAAATAGATGTCTACTGCAAAATAGTGGCACAAATTTATACCACTTATGCTATGGCCACAAATATAGGGCATTTGTGGCACAAAGAGTGTGGACATCTGTTTGCTTGGCCTATGTGCCACCATAAACATTATTATGGTGGCACAAAGTCAACATGTTTTCAGCCTAAGAGGAGTAAACAGCCAGGATATGAATGAAAGTATCATTGATTATGCAATGTTTCTAAGCCTCTTAAGGTCAAGGAAAGGGATTTTCTACATTTTTGCAACATGTTATCAAAGTGCACTTGTTGGTAGCTTCTGTCAGGATCCCTCTAGCCCCCAAACCATCAATCTGAGTTTTAACAGAGACCAAGGATTTGATAAGCATGAAGATCACACTGTGCTCTTAGTACTAGAGACATTCCACCCCTTTGCTAATATTCCTTCTGATCAAAATTAAGACATATTGACAGGGTGGAGCTTTTATTGTTAGTGCCTCCATGATACCAGTTCTATAGACTAAGTGCCTCAAGCCATAGTCTCTTCTTTCACACACATTACAGTCACACATTGAAAAACTTACATGAGAACAGGGCTATAAAGTGATTTGTTTCTCTCTGTAAGACTGCAACAAACCAATTAAGAGGAAAGCGGAAAAAATGTAGTCCTAGTTCATACAAAACACTATAACTTCACATGGAATGTTTTACCAGTGCAGAAGTACAGGCAGTTTATATAGCAAGCACTCTGTGTGGACAAAGTGATAACAGCAAACCTGTACTTGGTATAAGAAAATTGCTCATTACCACTTATAGAAGCTATGATAGTACAGTTTTGCATATAAAATTGTATTTACCCTAGAAGCTACTGGTGACACTGACATGTTAGTGAGGGCTACCACCTCTTAACACATGAACTTAACTCTGTTACCAGAAACCAGCAGTATACGCTTAGTTTCAGTCCTGTAAGAGCTGGATGTTTTAAAAATACTGATAAATGTAATAGATCTGCTATACAGGTCACTTGCAGTCTACTGTAATAACACATGCATGTAAGACAACTAAATGAAAGTTACAGTACTGAACCCTACCTTGGAAATAACAGGAAGTAGGAGGATCAATGAGCATTTTTTCAACTGGGAAAGTGTCCTTCAATTCCTGAGATGGATATCGCTCCATCATCTCTAAAGTGCCAGTAGAGGAAGAGGATGAGGATGATAATCCTAGTCCTACAAATCTTCCTTTCTTACCACAAAGTGAACAATCTATGGGTGTAGCACTAGGTCCTCGTGGCATCTGTACTTCATCTCTGCTGTAATTTCTCACAGCTCCACTGTGATGCATGGAACGTTCTCGCTGCCATATATAATGTGTTGGAGCAATAGCCATCACCTATGTTAGAAATAAATTCTGTATGGAACCAGAATCAGGAAAAACAACAAGCAAACCTTGAAACCAAAACAAACCTATTAGTATTCAAAAGCATTTGTTTATCTTGGAAGATGGTACCTTGGTATTAAATTGATCAATGCAGTTCAAAGAATGAGTTTTTGCAAAAATTTGGTGACACAATATGACCATTTCATTGCTAACTGATGTAATTAGTGGGGATGGGAATCAACACTCAGCTTCCATAATACCAGCTTCCATAACACAATATCTCAATTTTCAGAAACAAATTTCATTCAGTTAGCATGTTATAGAAGCTGCAAGTGCTTTTTTCCTGTCTGAACTCCTGAATGATTTTTTTAAATTCCCCTGACTTTAGAGTTTGGCAAAGTCTTGTGCTGTTTCACTTAGTGTGAAATCCATTGTGAATTATATCATGCTTTCCAAAAATAGATGATGTCAAAGTTTCAATATAAAGCCTCCCAGCAAAGAAACTGCCTGAGAGATATTACAACATTTCCCTGGTCATAAATCTGATACAGTTCTCTTGGAAGCAGGGTGCAACCATGCAGTTTCACAGTTTGTTATTTTATGAAAATAAAAGAGAACCTCTTCTGTTCCAAATTCAGACAATACATGCCTTTTACATTCATTAAAGTTCCAAACCCCAAGGATAAGTCCAAGCCATTACAGGCAGTTGGAATAAATCTAAATACTACATTTATTTAAATCCAAGATAACTTTGAATGTACAACCCCCAATAATTTGATTCTATCCATGGAAATGTATATGTTTGTTACAATTTTTCATGTATAGAATATAATTATTGGTGTGTCTTCTTCAATTCATCCCTCTGCCCCCAAGTACTAAGCAGAGAAAGCAGCAGTGGAGGGGCAGGCAGCTTGACTGCCACCCTTTGCCCCTATACCCCTACCCCTTGTCCTCCCTGCACTTGTCTGCTTTGCCACCTACCCCCGCCCACTATGGTGCATGCACCTGCCTTCCCTATACCTCGCCACAGTGACTGTGGCCCCTGCTGCCTCCCCCATGCCTGCATCCCCTGCTGCCTGCCCCCCCCCCC